TCCCTCCTCCTCCTCCTCCTCCTCCTCCTCCTCCTCCTCCTCCTCCTCCTCCTACCCCTCCTCCCCATTTCCCTCCTCCTGCGCCGAGAGGCCGCAGGCATGGTCGGGCTGGCATCCTTCGCGCGGGCGCCGCGACGACTGTCCCACATGCCCAGGGCCTGGGCCACGCCCTCCCAGCGCGAGCCCACGGCCGCCGTCAGGCCCCCGCCGCACACCGAGATAGGGGAACAAACAATGATATAAACATAAAAACCTGGAGGTCCGCGCGGATTTCTCGGATCGAAGCTGGGGCCCCCTGGCGGCGCCTCCAGCGCCGACCCTGGCGCGCTCCGCGCGGACCTCCGAGTTGTTATGTTTATGCCACTGTTTGTTCCCCTACGAAGAGCCGCGCGTGAGCTCGCAAGGCGGCCGAGAGAGCCGGCGGAGGCGGAAGGAGTGGATCCAGGCCTCCCAGGGGGTCGGTGGATCGCGCCGCATCGCCGATGCATCGCCGATGCGGCTCGATGTGGGGCCCAGTTTTACTGCATGCCGACGGCGCAGATGCATGGCCGACGCTGCCGATGCAGCCGGTTCTATCTACTCGGACACCATCTGGGAGGCCTCGAGTGGCGAGCCCAGGGGCGAACACTACACGCAGTTGTCAGGGAGCCTTGCCGAAGACAGGGGCGATCGGAGTTCCCAGATGCGTCTACGGCAGTTTCGTGCCGTGGCGACATGGCGTTGGCCTCTGACACCGCGTGGATCGGTCAACCTTGAACGGTCGGCGGCTTTTCGCTGGCCAGACCGTTCCACCTTGGCCGATTCTGGGCCACTGGCGGCGTTCAGCCTTGAACGGCGGCGGCGGGGTCGCTGCCGCGTTGGCACGACACGAACCTGCCGCAGGCGTGTAGATGACATCTTTATACATCCCTACATACATGGCAGACATACATACATATCATACATACATATATACATACATACATACATACATACATACATACATACATACATACATACATACATACATACATACATACATACATACATACATACATACATACATACATACATACATACATACATACATACATACATACATACATACATAGTGGCACGTGTGTGCCCAGGCTCATACAACAAGCTGAAGGGGCGTTTGAAGCAGGAGTGACATGCAACAGCGAAGTCACACTCGAGCGCAAGTGGGGTTGTCACACCTTGCGATGTGTGTACCAGGGCCCCCCCAGGAAGCCTCAGGAGGCCCGACTTGGATACCAGAAGAGGCTCCAGGAGGCCCCAGGATTGTGAGTGTTGTGTGTGTGATGTGTGCTTTGTGTGGTGCGTGCTTTTTGTGTGTTGTCGGTGTTGTGTGTGTATGTTATGTTTGTCTAGCGTGTGATGTGTTGGGCGTGATTTGTGTCTCTGTGTGTGCATGTAGTTCTGAAGCCCCAGGAGGCCCCAGGAGGCCCCAGGCGGCCTCAGCAGGCCCAGGAGAACTCCAGGAGGCTCCGAGGCGGGGTCTGGGGTACCAGAAGGTCCAGAAAGCCCCAGGAGGCCCCAGGAGGTTCCAGGAGGCCCCCAGGAGGCTCCGAGGAGGGGTCTGGGGCTCGATTTTGGAAGGATTTTTCATACGAAACCGCCATTCTCTGAGAATCGGGGTCAAAATTATTGAAATTACCATGTGTTTTTGAAGGTTTTATGTTAAAAATGTTGAAATTCCCATGTGTTTTTGGACCCTGACGTCACGATCTGCGTGAGGGGTGCCACCGATTTTCAGAATGTCGAGGATGTCCCGAGCGAAACGGCCAGAAAAATCGCGGACGCGTGCGCATTAATCGCCTCTGAGCTCTACTCCCTCGGAGAGGTGCGTATGAGAATACATATATATATATATATATATATATATATATATGTATACATATGTATACATATATGTATATACACCTATATATATATATGTATGACTGATCCTGCGGGCTTCACGTGGCCTACTCCCACCTACGAGGGTGGGCTCGTGGGGCTGCGATGCCATGGCCAAAGGGGGATGGGGATAGGTTAGACGATGCTGAGGTTCGGGAGCCTCGTCGAAGACAGGGCGCGTGTGGTGTGGAAACAGCAAGATACCGAGACTGCTCCTCCCCAAGACCTTTCCCGGGGCGAGTTTCCTGACCAGAACTCCGAAGCGCCTCCAGAGCCGTGGCCACGAGAGCCTCCAAGGAGGCCCGGAGAGGCGAGAGCGAGGCAGGGGGCAGCGGTGTCCCCAGAGATCCGATGTCGTGATCTATTCAAAATCGGGAGAGGCCAAGAGGGGGGGTCCAAGAGGGGGGGTGCAAATCATGACCGGCGGCATGTGCGCGGCCCAGCGGGGGGGCCAGGGACGTAATGAAATAAGAAGACGCGCCATGAAATCTGGGCAAATATCATGGCCCCCGCCATGATATCCACCTCCCCCTAGTCATCACCCCCCTCATTGCCGCCCCCGACAAAAGGGGGTCCCCGAAGTCTCGACCCCATTCCCCAGGACCGGTTTTTCGTCCTGAGTCGTTTTTCGACAGCCCTCGGGCCCGGCGGGGGCCCCTATAGAGGCCGAACACTGCGGAAAACCTTGGTCTTTGATTTCTTCAGTGCCTTGCATCTCTGGGTCGGCGCCTCCCCCTGCTCTGCGCAGAGGCCCTCCCCAGAGCCGCCCGCCCCTGCTGACCACGAAAAAACACATCCCCAGTCCCAAAATCGCGGATTCGCCGAGGATTCGAAGATCGGCCAAAGATTTCGGGGTATGGTTTGCGTTCGTCGTCGTCACCCTGGTAAAACCCAACCCCAAAATCTCCCTCCTCGAAGTCTCGAGGTGTCTGCGTTTTGCCTTGGACCCCGCGTTTTTGGGATTGGGCGTCTGTTTTGAGTCAGTGACCTGCTGCAGCCGCCGGGCGAGAGAAGCGAGAAAACTGCGCCCAAAAAAACCGCCGGCAGCGCTCGGAGCGGCGCGGCCGGGGCGTGGGCGCGGCGCTGGGCCGCCGCCCCCTCCCCGGCGCGCGGGGCGGAGGGGCTGGAGGCGCGTTCGCGCTCTTGGGGGGCCTGTCCCGCGGGGGCAAGGGGTAGGGAAGCAACTCCTGAGGAGGAGGAGGAGGAGGCGGAGGATCAGGAGGAGGATCAGGAGGAGGAGAAAGAGGAGGCGAGAACGATTGGGAGCGGTCAGGCCGCATGATTTGAGCCGAACAGGCCGGATTGAGTGGGGCTCAGCGGCATTATGACAGAGCAGGCCAGTCGTCGACCACGGATAAAGCAGCGCCGATGCTAAACTTGACCTCCCACGAATGGCATCCCGAGAGGGAGGTCTCCGCTCAGCACATCTCCAAGCATGCTCTGTTCCGCTCTTCGGCGGCGAGCCCCGGGGGGAAAGCGAGAAGGGCGGGCCTTCTCAGAAGGCTCGGAGGTCACCCGGCCTTCTGGGAAGTTTTCTGAGCCTTCCCCGAAGGCGCAGCTCGCGCTCTTAGGGGGCCTGTCCCGCGGGGGCAAGGGCTAGGGAAGCAACTCCTGAGGAGGAGGAGGAGGAGGAGGAGGAGGATCAGGAGGAGGATCGGGAGGAGGAGGAAGAGGAGGCGCGAGGGCCTCTGAGAAGCCACGCCGCCTTCCGAGGAGGCCCTCTCCCTCCCGCCTCCCACCCACCCACCCCACCTCGCTCGCCGCCGAGTGGCATCCTGAGAGGGGCGGTCTCCCGCTCAGCACACCTCCGCGCCTGCCCCGTTCCGCTCTGGCCACCCTGCGCTCTGCCCTTCCTCTCCGCCCCTGCTCTTAGGTCGGGCATGTCCTCCAACAGGCAAAAATATGTGCACAAAACGATTTGACACTGGAGATAAAACCCAATATGAATATTTGTTTAGGGCTATGGGGCTATGGAGCTATAGGGCTATAGGGCCAGAGGACTATAGGGCTATAGGGTTGTGGGGCTATAGGGCTATAGGGCTATAGGGCTGTAGGGCTGTAGGGCTATAGGGTTATGGGGCTCTGGGGTTATAGGGCTGTAGGGCTATAGGGCTATAGGGCTACAGGGCTCGGGGGCTATAGGGTTGTGGGGCCATAGGGCTGTAGGGCTATAGGGCTATAGGGCTATAGGGCTATAGGGCTATAGGGCTATAGGGTTATAGGGCTGTAAGGCTATAAGGCTATAGGGCTATAGGTCTATAGGGCTATGGGGCTATGGGGCTATAGGTCTATAGGGCCATAGGGCTATAGGGCTATAGGGCTAAAAGGCTATAAGGCTATAGGGTGATGGGGCTATAAGGCTATAAGGCTATAGGGCTATAGGGCTACAGGGTTATAGGGCTATGGGGCTATAGGGCTATATGGCTATAGGGCTATAGGGCTACAGGGCTATAGGGCTATGGGGCTATAGGGCTATATGGCTATAGGGCTATAGTGCTATAGGGCTACAGGGCTATAGGGCTATGGAGCTATAGAGCTATAGGGCACCTGGGCACCCGGGCACCCGTGCACCTGGGCATCACCTGGGCAAGGGGCACCCGGGCACCACCTGGGCACACGGGCACCTGGGCACCCGGGCACCCGGGCGTGCCGCCGAAATCGGCGCCGTACCTCACCTGACCAGATGAATCCGCTAGGACCCCTACAGATGCAAGCTCTGATTGCGGAAAAAAATGTAAATGTAGTCGAGAAATCGTCCCCAGACTATTTTTGGGCTATTTTTGAATGTTCTTCCTGTCGAGGGACGTGCCCGACTCAACCCTGGTCTCCGCCAGCCCCCCGTGCTCGGCCGCCCGCACCAAGGGGTTCGCAGAAAGCCTGCGGGCCCTGCGGCACGGTGGCCGACCCTCGGGTGCCGCAGGTGCCCTGAGCTGGCTGCACGCAAGAAGTGAGACCTTTTTCGCCCAGGCGCGAGTGATTTTAGCGCTACACGACGGGAGGTGTTTCGGTATTGTCGGCCTCCAGGGGCCCTTCCCGGGCCGCGGGACAGTCATAAAACGACTCAGGATGAAAAGCTGAGCCTGGGAAAGGGGTCCAGACATCTGGGGGTCGACGTTGTGAAAAAAAAGAAAAACAACAAAAAAACACGACGTCGGGGGTCTGAGAAGAGTGGCCCTGGGTAAGAGCGACCTTTGGTGCGCGGCTTTTGGGGGCCGCGGGGGGGCCAACACGCAAGCGCGCAAGACGCCACAGCCGCCTCGCGCTCCGCGACCCGGGGACCCCTGTGGGCCCGCACTGAAGGTCACTGCGGCGAAGGGTCACTCTTACGTGCAGTCGACTGAGTGGTACCTTGTCTGCGCGCCTGGCCCGCAAGCCACCGGCCAGCTCGTAAGCTGCACAGCTGGAGACGGGACTCTCCCCGCCAGTCTCTGCTGCACGCCAGCCCGCCATCCCCATCGAGAGCAAAACCGAAACGACTTGGGGCGCACACGCCATACATCATGCCAAACATCCCGCCGTCACCTTTGTCGGCGGCGAGCCCCGGGGGGAGATGAGAAGGGGCGGACCTTCTCGGAGGACTTAGAAGTCCCCCGGCCTCCTGAGAATGTTTCTAAGCCGTCCCCGGAGACGCTTCTCAAGTCCGCGGGCACCAGGCGGTCAAAGACAGCCAGGCGCCGGTCAGCAGGACCCCGAAGATACACTTTTTGTTGGTCGGCGGGTCGGGAGCGGGCCCCTTCCGGTTAAGAGCTGGGCGGGGCGCGCGAAGCCCTCATCGGGGAGACCTCCTGAGAAGCCCCGCCGCCTTCTGAGAAGGCCTTCTCCTTCTCACTTCCCCCCGTCCCTCGCCGCCGACATTGGCTCTGTCAGGGGTGGCGGAAGTGTGCGGCCGCTCGCGCGCACCCGGCGCGGTCTGCGCGCGGCCTGCGCGCGGTCCGCGCGCCCCGGGCGGCGCCTGGGGCGCGCAGCACCCTTGGCGCACGCGGCGCCTCTGGCACTCGGCGGCGTGAGCGGCGTGGGAGAGCGAGAGGGGGCCTCCTTTTGTTCGGTGGCTCGAGGAGGAGGCTCGGAGGGATGGGGCCCTGAGGACGAGGTGCCCTCGACAACGTGAATCCACCCTCTGGGCCCATTCTATCCTTGGGCCCCCATCCCTCAGGACCCCATCTTTGTCGGGCGTTGGCAGAACTGGGTTTAGTGGGACCTGGTTTAGTGATGTGTACTGGGGGGCGCCGCCCCGCCCCATTTCCACTAACCAGAACTGCCGTCGCCCGAAAAACACCAGCCGCGGCAGAGCTGGTTCAGTGATTCTGGCCAATTTAGGGGTTCCGGGGCCCTACCACTTGCCGGGCCCCTTACCTGGGGTCCTGGCTATTGAAGGGGCCCCAGGACACACAAATAAATACACACAAATAAAAGGATTCCCCATATTTTCCCACTGGGTTTTTGTCTTCCCCCCCGCTTCCCATATTTTTCCATATTTCCCTGGGGATCGACGATTAATTGTGTCTGTGTGTTTTTGTTCCTCCCAAAGTTTCGGCCGCTTCCTCTGTGACCCCCCCCCCGCCTCCCGCATGGTGGCACGATTCGCCACAACGGCACCCCAGTTCAGGTAGCCCTCCGCCGGCGCAGTTACCCTGCCCAGCCGCCGACGTAAAAAAAAAAAAAAAAAAAAAAAAAAAAAAAAAAAAAAAAAAAAAAAAAAAAAAAAAAAAAAAAAAAAAAAAAAAAAAACTCCGCGCCGACTCTGCCCAGCCGTCGGCGCCAGTTGCCCTGCCCCTTTCTCAGCAGCCCTCGCGGCGCCCTCCGAGCAATCTGCCGCGCCTTCGGGGGAGGCCCAGATCACTTCCCAGGAGGCCAGGGGACTTCCGTTAACGGGCGAAGAACGGTATGAAATAAACTTTCTCGCTGTCGGGGGCGCCTGCCCCAGGGCGGCTGGAAAGCTTATACCCTTACGGTGGCACCATAGGGCTATAAAAACTTGCCAGCCGCCCTGGGACAGGCGCCCCCGACGGCGAACAAGTTTATGTTATACCGTTCTTCGCTCGCTGATTCCGAGCCTCCCGAGAAGGCCTGCCCCCTCTCTCACTCCCCCCCCCCCCTGGAGGCGCGCCGCCGAGGAGCGCGTCAGGCACGCCCGGCGTGCTCGGGCGCCTGGGGCTCCCGAGGCCCCTGACCCACGCCTGGAGCTCAAGCTTTCCTGGAAGCACCCCACGGTAGGTCGGGCGTGTACTCCTGCAGGCAGACTTTGGACGAAAATAATGAAGGGGCCCCAGGACACACAAATAAATACACACAAATAAAAAATCCCCATATTTTCCCATACCTTCTGGGTTTTTGTCTTCCCCCCACTTCCCATATTTTCCCATATTTTCTGGGGAATCGCCGATTAGTTGTGTCTGTGTGTTTTTCCCCTCCTGAAATAAGCAGTAGTCAAAAAAGATTCAGATGTACTCGAAAAAAAGTCCCCAGACTGTGGAGGGGCACGCCCGCCTGAAACCTAGCGCGCGTCATGAGGCTGGGTGGGTGGGTGGGTTCGCTGGTGCGCGCCCACCACGAACAGGACACCTGCTCGCTAAACAACAGGCGCTGCCGCAACGGGAGTGGGTGAAGCGGAGCACGTCATGTTTTATCTGCTGGGTGGGCGGGTTGGCTGGAGGCCACATGACGCGCGTTATGTGCTCGAGTTAAAAAAATGCAGCCCCTGGCACAAGTGACGCACCCTGCGACAGCCCCGTGGCCAGGTCGAACGCGGTGCTCGCTAACATCGCGGTGGTCACGAGGATGCGAGCAGAGAAACGCGCCCGACCAAGCGGGCACTCTGCTGGAGAGGCCTCGCTGTTCCGGGCGCGGACGGGCCCGTGGAACACACCTGGTCGACACTCCCTCGGGAGGTCCGACTGCGATACCTGCTGCCTCCTCCTCCTCCTCCTCCTCCTCCTCCTCCTCCTTCTCCTCCTCCTTCTCCTCCTCCTCCTCCTCCTCCTCCTCCTCCTCCTCCTCCTCCTCCTCCTCCTCCTTCTCCTCCAATCCGAATGCGTGTACGTCACAAAACGGGCGTCTCCCACCTGAGAGGTCCCACCACTCTGAGCGCGAGCGGACCTGTCGAATACCGCTGGATGGCGCGTGATCGTGGAAGCTATCCTTTGAAGCAGCTGCACCTGGTGGTACCGTGGAAGGCTCTGGTGCGTGAACTGGAACTTGCATCATGTGCACTCGGAGCTCACCACTGGTGTGAAGAGGATCGGAGAATGGGACTTGGAGTGGTCCCCGCACCTCGAGTACAGCTTCAAGAAGATGGTCGAGGCTCTCAGGCTTCAGCTAATTGGACACGATGCGGTACGAGGATTACGTTTTCGAGTGTGTCCTGATGAGGCTGCCCCTCGAGCCTGGCGAGGCTGTAGACAGTGTATGACTTTCTGGGGCGATGAGGGGGAGCGAACGGAACACGTCCTTCTCGAGTGGTGTGTCGTGCTCGTGTCCTGGGGCTGGTCAGTACCTCTCGGAATGACTGGCCAGGCATGCATGAGACTGGTGTGGAGGCCCTCTCCCAAGAACCCTGGCGGCAGTACCGCAACGGGACGTCGCCAGAAGAGTATTCCAAGCTCAGCATTTTATTGCGTGGGGGTTCCTCCACACCTATCCGCAGGGAAGAGGCCGAGCGGTTACCGAGCCGTTGTATCCCTTGTGTGGAGAGGAGGATTGGCAAAGCACTCGACATGTCGTCGCGTCGTGTGCTGCATGTCATGGCTTCCGAGCAAATGAACAATTCAGATTCCTTGGATGGAGGCTGGTGGACTCAGCAGCCGAAGGTCACCCTGAATTAGGGAAGGATCACCATGTCAGTTGACCATCAAGCTTGCCGACGTGCAGAGATGATGGTGGCAGCCTGCCGCATGGGTCGGCACGTTCAAACTATGTTGTGGGCGCTGGGAAAGTGAACCTGGGCGGCTGATCTGCAATTGTTGTTATCTTGTATCACCTTGGTTTATTGTTGGTCTCAGTGTCTATATTGCTGCACCCAGGTGATGTACACTACGGCGGCGATTGACAAGGCGAACACGGTGCCTGCTAGCACGTCACAGAACGGGCGTTATACCTGAGAGGCTTCACCAATCCAGACGCGAACGGGCCCGTGGAACACACCTGGTCGACACTCGCTTGGGAGGCCTGAGTGCGATGCGTGCTGCATGCTACTTCACGGTGATATGAGCGATATGAACGTCTGAGTAGGATCTGGTCCGAATACGAATGGCCGTGTATGAGTGTGAGTCTGAGTACGAGCGGGTCTGGTACAAAGGACTGGAAAGAGACATGAGTGAGTCTGATGGTGAGAGAACCTGCGTCTGAGCGACTGTATGTGAGTGGATCTGAGTGCGAATGAGCCTGAGCATGAGCGACTGGATGTGAGTGAGTCTGCGTATGGTTGGGTACGAGTGTGAGGATGTGTGTGAGCGCTTGGGTATGAGTGGATCTGAGTGTGGGTGAGTCTGAGTATGGGTGAGTCTGAGCATGAGTGAGCATGGAACTGATTTAAATTCAGCGACGTGGCTCGGGAAAGTATCAGTATGAGTTCTTTGAATACGTCGGAGTTGGTTGAATTAACTGTATAAAGTTGAATCGAAGTATGAGTGATCGGGCATGGGCGACTGGGTATCAATGAGTCTGAGTGGCTTTGCGCGAGGGAAAGGAGGAGGCGGAAGGAAGGAGAGGAGGAGCGAGCTGGCTGGTGGCGGGACGCGAATAACAAGAAACACGACAACCGACATGATGTGTGTTCGACCGCAGGGGCGACCGGACTGGGCAGAAACCCTGGTAAAGACCATTGGACACTCCGCCGTCCCACAACAGCTCTCCTGGGGGACCCACGGAGAACGGCGAATGCCTCCACGATACAGCAGCAAGAAAAGCCACGCACACGGGGCGCGCGGGAGAGGACCAAAACGAGCATCCAGCAGAAATCTCCCCCTGCCCCTCCTCCGAGGGGCAACGATGGGGGGAGACGGGCTCTGGGGGAGAACATCGACCAGAATCGGCGATGCATCGCCGATATATCGGCGATAGGCCCCCGATAGCGAGTCCGCACGTTACTAGGCGGGGTGGACCATCGGGCCGCTATCGGCGGTGAATGGGTGACTGGGGGTCGATGCGTTCCCCCCTGAGCCTACCCCTCTATCGTTGCCCATGGTCTTCCTCCCCGTGCACGAACCACGGCCGCTGTTCCGTGCCCTCTCGGTGCCCGCAAGGATTGATACGCGCTGCTGCAGCATGCCGCATGGACAGCGCACAAGTGTCGGCACGAGTCCAGGGCAACTGCTTCACGTTGGAGACAAGCTCCGCCCCGCTTGGGCCCTGAAGCCCAGCGGCGTTTCTACTATCGGCCAAACGGGGCTTCTGACCAAGCCCGGCACTCGCTGCCGTCGGCCTGGTTCGTTCCAAATATCCTGCTTCTCCCCCAGATTCAATTCAGACTCGATGGGGGAGGCGGAGGGGTCGACGACGATGACGACGACGAATCGAAGCGGGAAGGGTGGGGGCAGGGTGGGGGGCAAGAGATCGGCGCGACGGACCAGCCCCCACAGGGAGATCCACCAGTCGAGGGCAACTCTTCCGAGTACCTTGATGGGGCTGGTCTGGGAAAACTAAGTCGGCTTAAACCTCGGTCGCCACTGGCCTCGTTCCGCTCGGGATCCCAGGGTTCCTTGGAATCTCAGAGGGCCGCCTGAACAACAAAATCGCGTACCGACCCACCGCTGAAGAAGTTTCACCTTGCCACACGACCGCAGACACCACGCATCACCACGTGGCCAATGGATCCGAGTCCTGCCATACCAGCAGCGAATGCGACAGAGCACCACGCGGACGATGAATCCCAAAAATGGGGGCACGGCACCTCATGGCGCCACAGAACCGCTCCCAGCACTGGAGAACGAACCAGGCAGCATCACACTGCAACGCACGGTATCATACTGCAAACCGAGCACCACACGGCACCACACGACGCAACCACATGGCGGCACACCTCGCCACCCAGGCAATTCATCCGAGGGCTGGGGACAGACCACCACACACATGACTGCGCGAGCAACTGATACCAAACTCCCGCGAGCTCTGGACATAGATGTTTGAGCGAGCTACCCGATCCAACCCCATGTATTATCCTCTGGCCGGGGGCGTAGCCCTAGGTCGGGCCTGTCCCCCTACAGGAGGATTTTGGACGAAAATTGAAAAATAATCCCAAATATAGTCAAAAGGGGCTCCAAAATTACTGCCCTGGCTATTTTTCTACTATTTCCGAAAATTCCCCCTGTGGAGGGAGAGGCCGACTTAAGCGTAGCCCTCCCTTACGCCCCCTCCGCCAGATCCGGCCCCCCCCCCCCCCCCCCGCGAGGAGCTCCGGCGTCCAACATGGACCAGGGCAGCTCGAGGATGGCCACAGGCAGCCCACGATGGGGTCCAAGATGGTGTGCCACAGCCCAAGATGGCTCGAGACGGCCTCCAGCACGGCTCCAAGAGGCCCCAAAACGGCCCATTCATGCAGCTCCAAATTGCCACGGAACCCTGACAGGATGCCTCCGAGGGGCAACAACCTTGCTTTAGAAGAATAAGTATTGAAGGGGTCAATGATGGCGATCGTGTCGCGTTTCGCCTTCGATGGGCTTCCGAAACCTCGAGAAGGATCCCAAATCGCCCAAGATAACCTCAACAATAACTCAAAAGGCCCCCAAGAGCGTCCCAGGAGAGCTTCAAGCGGCGTTCGCTCAGGCATCAGGGAGGCAACGCTAATTGAAACGTCTCCTCGTTTGGTCGACCCCATGTCTGGATGCACTGCGAAACCCGCATGGGTAACTGATAAAAGAATGGGGGACCTGGCACCACACCGTACCGCACGGCATAACCCACCACCAAGGCGAGTAACGGATTCGAGCGGTTTGGCCGTCACCGCAACTTACCGAAGTCACAACGACCCCAACACACAATGTTCAAGGAATACCCAACTGAACACTCCACACACACACTCACAAACTCACACTCACACGCGCACATACACACACACACACACACACACTGGTTCTCCCAGCGGCTGGGCGACAGCACCACAGCAGGTACTAACGCGGGGCACGCTTGGCTCAATTCACAAGTTCACACAAACACGCACACACACCCACACACACACACTTTGCTCGTTGGCGCCGCGGCCACGCGCACCGCGGCGCGGCGCAGGAGATGCCGAGGACGCGCGCGACCCGGCCCGCCTCACGCGGCGGGGGGGCACACAGACACACACACACACACACACACACACACACAGACTCGTGTGCGGCCAGGGCGGAGGACCCGCGCGGGCGAGCCGAGGCCGAGAGCAGTGGCGCGCGCGGCGGCAAACGCACTTCAGCGGAGGGTGAAAAGCAAGGAGGCCAAAGGGCCTCGCGCACCAGGGCGGCGGCGGGCCGAGCGCCACAACACACACACACACACACACACATGAAGGGGCCCTGGGGCACACAAATAAAAACACACAAACAAAAAGATTCCCCATATTTTCCCACATTTTCTGGGTTATTGACTTCCCCCCACTTCCCAGATTTTCCCATACTTTCCTGGGA